GCAGAAGAGACACACCTGCACTGACCTTGGGGAACTGCGCCGCTACCTTGGCCTGCAGATCTCCAGGGACAGAGCCGCTCGCACCATCACTCTGACTCAGTCACACATGGTGTAGCAGGTCCTTCAGCGGTTCGGGCTTCAGCACTCCTCTCCTCCTCCCACCCCTCTTGCTGTAGACCACAGACTCACTGGGCCTTTTCCTGACGAGCCGTTCGAGCCCAGTGGTCCCTACGCAGAGTTGGTGGGCTGCCTCATGTACCTGATGACGTGCACTCGCCCGGACCTCGCCTTCCCTCTTAGCATCCTTTCTCGCTTTGTTGCGACAGGGAGACACCGTCCTGTTCACTGGGCGGCAGCTAAGAGGGTGGCGAAGTACCTCGGCGCGACATCAGACATGGGGCTTGTACTTGGAGGGACACAGCCAGTTGTACTCACCGGTCACTGCGACTCCTCCTACGCCGACGACGTTGAGTCACAGAGGTCTACACAGGGTTACTGTTTCAGCCTGGGCTCTGGAGCTGTTTCGTGGAGGTCTACTCGGTCCTCCTCTGTTGCGACTTCTACCGCAGAGGCCGAGATCTACGCTGGAGCCCTCGCTGCACAGGAGCTACGCTGGTTGACCTTCTTGCTCACTGACCTTGGTGAGCGGCCGAGCTCTGCACCGACCTTGTTTGCTGACAACAAGGCGATGATTCTCCTGTGTCGTGAGCCTCGACTGGAGAGCAGGGTGAAGCATATCGACGTCAGGTACTTCCTCCTTCGAGAGTTGCAGAGACGTGGACAGGCACGTCTGGACTTCGTGGCCAACACTGCAGACATCTTCACCAAGGCTCTTCAGCCTTGTGACCACCGCCGGTTTTGTCTGCAGTTAGGCCTTGTTGAGACTGGGTCTAGTAGACTGCAGTAGTGAGTTCTTGCCTCTTGCTTGTTTGTACCATATATATATATTAGCCTGTACACTCTTGAACTGGCCTTGTGGCCACTTGTTTGTGCTCAGAATGTGTGGTGACGTTGAGATCCACCCTGAGCTTTGTTTTCTCGCTTGCTTGTGACTGGTCTTGTGACCTTAGGTTGTGTTCTGTTACTTGGCATTCCCCACTTAGGCTATGGGGGTGTGTCAAATGTTATAGCCCTTAGTGGGTCATACTATATGGGGTACAAACAATTAGGGTTAGGTACTTGTACCCCAACTCAATCAATGCAAGTCATTCCGCTGTGTTTAGTTACTGAGACCCCCAATGTATTTAACACAGGGGTGGTGGTCCTTTTATCTTGAATATGAATAGTGTCTCTTCCATTTCAAGCTTTGCTTAATAAGACTACACCTATACAGCTAATAGTTTAGAGTGCCTAAGGCAACGGGGGCAAGCGATAGTTTCCAGTAACGGTGGGTCCACTCGTAGATCAGTTGCCACAGGTCCGCTTGGAAGGAGTTGTGGCACTTCGGGCGCAATGAGACCACGTAAACGCGGGGTTTCGGGCAGGACAGTTCGAGGCCAGGACAGGACAGAACGTGCCAAGACAGGCCAGGCCAGGCCAGGACAGGACAGGCCAGGGCAGGTTAGAACACGAAGGGACGGGACGGGCTGGGCCGGGACAGGATAGGCGGGCCAGGGCGGGATGGGACAGGCCAGGCCAGGTCATAACATGCCAGATCAGGCCAGGGCTGGACAAGACCGGACAAGACGGGGCAGGACAGGACAGGACAGGACGGACGGGACGGGATGGGACGGGACAAGGCAGGATGGGGCGGGGCGACGCGGGGCGGGGCGTTGCGGGGCGGGGCGGGGCGGGGCGGGGGGGGGGCGAGGCGGGGCAGGGCAGGACAGGGGGGAAAGCGAGTGCTTGTGTCGAGCCGACCGAGGTACACCCGTGCAAACAATTTGCCGCTGGAGTGGAGAGGAGACGCACCGCTGAGTGCTTGGATGTGCGGCCCGCGTGCAGTGCTTATGAAACGGGTGCAATGCTTGCCATGCGGCGATTGTAATAGACGGTCCACTCGAGGAGATCTTCCAGCAGCTCCTCACGCCACCACTCGGCGCCGCCATGCAGGTCAATGCGCTCAGGGTCCTGAAAGCGTGAGAGCACGAGGTACTGCATGTACTTCATCACAAACACGCCACAGTTGCAAGCGTCCGTCTGCTGTGGTGCCTGCAGCAGGAAGGGGTGAGGCAGTGCGAAGAGGGTTTAGAGTGTGCGTGGGATAAACGGAGAAGCAGGCTGACCGTCAATGCAAACCCTTAGGGGCCTTACCCACCTTCCATGTGAATCCCTCACCCACCTGGACTTTGACTAACGGCACGCGAGCAATCCAGTCGTCTGCGTCTGCCTCGGACACCACGCTAGGCATCAACTCTCGCAGCTGCTGCCGCAGGTACCTGCCATGCCAGGCACACCACTTACTCGAATGATGGGGTTTCAAACCACAGGGTTACACGCATAAGGGCACAGGCTCGGGCATAAGGGCTTACTGTCGTAACGGCGCTTCAAATGTTTTGTGCATGGACAGGGAGTCGGCATGCAGGATGCGGGTGGGACGGCGTGGCAGTGTGGGCGATCGATCGTTGTCCAGGATGACCAAACTCCAATGATTACTGCGCGTCCCACATGCGCACCGTCAGAAGGTGACATTTGAGTCGACCCACAAGTCACGGATGACAAAACTCCAATAATTACTACAAGCCCCACATGCGCACCGTCAGCGCACAGCAAACAAAGACAGCCTTGCCTGCACAACTTGTGAAATGGGTCCCACCCACCCACCCACTCACCCAAGGATTCGATACCCAGCTTACTCTGCGTGCAGCGGAATGAGAACCCATTTGAACAACAGCATGTTCTCATTTGCAAGGACCGTGTAACCCTCGCCTGGGCGACGAGGCATTGAGATTAGACTGAAGGTAAAGTGGAGCAGTATAGCCACGAAAATTCCTCGTACTTGTTCACGTACTGGAGCATCCTGTATAGTACAAGGAACGAGGGCCGCATGCAAGGTCAGCACGGGCCGCGGGCATGGTTCTGATGCACTGCAATTTACAGCAGTCGATGACTCAACTGATAACAGCACTCACAGGCCGAACCACTAGATGTCTCAACTGATGGCAGCACTCATAGGCCGAACCACTCGATGTCTCAACTGATGACAGCACTCACAGGCCGAACCACTAGATGTCTCAATTGATGACAGCACTCACAGGCCGAACCACTAGATGTCTCAATTGATGACAGCACTCACAGGCCGAACCACTAGATGTCTCAATTGATGACAGCACTCACAGGCCGAACCACTAGATGTCTCAATTGATGACAGCACTCACAGGCCGAACCACTAGATGTCTCAACTGATGACAGCACTCACAGGCCGAACCACTAGATGTCTCAATTGATGACAGCACTCACAGGCCGAACCACTAGATGTCTCAATTGATGACAGCACTCACAGGCCGAACCACTCGATGACTTCTCCAGACACCCATTGCCGCGGCTGCAGTGTTTCTGCGTCGCGCTTAGTAAGCACGAGCCAATCGTCGTATAGGGGATACGGCATCTCGAGTTTCGTGAACGTTTCTAGCCGAGCCTCGCCAAAGGAGGGCTCGTCTCCCTCGGGCTCGTCCCCCTCGTGCGCCATGCGCTCGTCTCCCTCGTGCTCCATGCGCGGCACGGGTTTGGGAGGCGCGGCCTCTCGTCGCCAAGTTTAGCCTAAATTCGAGGGGAAAAGGGAGGCGCGCCCTCTCGTCGCCTTGTAGGTCGCGGGGATGGCGCGGCCTTCACTTTCAAGGCGACAAGAGTTAACGAGGGTGCGTATTGGTAGGACGAACCAAATAATGCGAACAAACGCTGGGAACAAGCTATGCGACAGGCCGTGAAGGCGCGCTTCGAAGTAGCGCGAGAAGCGTTGATCAGGTTCTTAGACAAGCGCGCATATGAGCTCAGTCGTGCGCACGACTGGGTTACGCAGCAACAGGAGGTTTGGTTGTTGGCGGTCCGTAGAGTCTACTAATAGTCCACATCTGACGCCGTAGTAGACTCTACACATCTACCAATAGTCCACTGTGTCGGCATCGGGAAGACGTGTTCGTGCCTTATTGCTTTGAACTAAGCACTGCGGAGCCAGTCTGGGCATGAATGACGGTTTTCAGGATTACTGTACAGTACTGAGTGTGAACAGTGATGTCTTGGCAGTTGACCCTTCAGTTGGTGATTGTTTCTCGCTGGCCAATCACAGATCACCTCTCCCGCTTGATCGAGACGCCTTGCTGTGCACAATGTGGTAACATGGTTTTTGGCGAATTCAAGTTCAAAAAGATTCTTGATTTTGAAAACAACGATGGGAACTCGAGTTGAATTGTGTGGTGGGAGTCGGGGATCGTTTTTAGGGCTGGTTACCTCGAAATTCAAACAAGCCTCTTGTTCGAATTCGGGCTTTCCAGCCCCGAGGTGACACGCCCTTACATACAGCGTGAGGAGCATCACAAGTATACAAAATTTCAGCGCACCTGGGCAGATGACGCATCTTGAGTTTGCGTATTGCTCGCACGCTTTTTTTCATCGTTCCCGCACGCGCGCGCTTTGACCTATGTCGTCCCTTACTCGTCTTCTTGAGCAGGACCAACTAGTGACGCAAAGTTTCAGGAGAAGCGTAGATCGCGAGCAAGCAAGCTAGCGGCAAGGTCTCATCTTCAGCGCGGAGGTCTTGGTACCGTTCGCGTGCCAATCAATTATGCATAACTGTCGGGGATAGTCCGTAACCGGACTGCAAACCTAGCCACACCGTGATGTCACGAATCCTGGCGAGACCATTTATTAGGGTTGCCTCATCCCGGCGGCCGCGTCGTCTCGATTCCCCACCTGGTCGACCCTCTCCGCAGTTCAAGTGGTGTTGCACACGGGCTTGCCGGTCTCCAGCCCTTGCGCGATCGAGAACAAGCAGCGAGAACCTCTAAGCAGCCGCTTCTCGCGTCGGTCCCTCACCATCGCTCGCGCGACGCACGCGACGCGATTCACCGCGAATTAAGCAAACCCCGTTGCTGCGCATGGCGCACGAGGGGGACGAGCCCGAGGGAAACGAGCCCGAGGGAGACGAACCCGAGGGAGACGAACCCGAGGGAGACGAGAGCGAGGGAGAGGAGCCCAAGGGAGACGAGCCCGAGGGAGACGAGCCCTCCCGTGGCGAGGCGGCTCGGTTGGAAGCCTTCACGGAACTCGAGATGCCGTATGCCCATTACAATGATTGGCTTGTGCTTACTAGACGCGACGCAGAAACATTGCAGCCGGGGCAATGGGTGTCTGGAGAAGTCATCGAGTGGTTCGGCCTGTGAGTGCGGATGTAATTGCAGCGCATCCGAGTCATGCCCGCGGCCCGTGCTGACCTTGCATGCCTGAAAGAATTATGATACCAAACCAACGAGTCGTTCCGTGTGGTGTGCAGGATGCTCCAGTTCCAATGCAAGTACGAGGAATGTCCGTGGCTCTATTGCACCACTTTTACTTTCGGTCTAATCTCACGACCTCGTCGCCCAAGCAATCGCCCGGTCCTTGCGCATGCGAACATGCTGCGGTTCAGATGGGTTCTCATCCCGCTGCACGCAGAGTAAGCTGTGTACTGAATTCTTGAGAGAAATCTTGGGTGGGTGCGACCCGTACACGTTGTGCAGCCACGTTTGTGTGTCCGCTGATGGTGTGCATGTGGGACTCATTCTCATTCTCATTCTCATTCTCATTCTCATTCCCATTGTTGTTCTCATTGTCATTGTCATTCTCATTCTCATTCTCATTGCCATTGCCATTGCCATTGCCGTTGCCGTTGTCTTTATCATTGTCATTGCCATCGTCATCGTCATTGTCATTGCCATTGTCATTGCCATTGTCATTGCCATTGCCGTTGCCGTTGTCTTTGTCATTGTCATTGTCATTGTCATTGCCATTGCCGTTGCCGTTGCCGTTGCCGTTGCCATTCTCATTCTCATTCTCATTCTCATTCTCATTCTCAGTGTCATTGTCATTGCCATTGCCATTGCCGTTGCCGTTGCCGTTGCCGTTGTCGTTCTCATTCTCATTGTCATTGCCATTGCCATTGCCATTGCCATTGCCATTGCCGTTGCCGTTGTCTTTGTCTTTGTCATTGTCATTGTCATTGTCATTGCAATTGCCGTTGCCGTTGCCGTTGCCGTTGCCATTCTCATTCTCATTCTCATTCTCGTTGTCATTGTCATTGGAATTTGTTGTGGCAGTAATCATTGGAGTTTGGTCATCCTGGACAACGATCGATCGCCCACACTGCCCCGCCGTCCCACCCGCATCCTACATGCCGACTCCCTGTCCATGCACACGAAATTTGAAGCGCCGTTGCGCCAGTACGCACCTAATCCCGAGCCTGTGTTTTGAGTTGACTCAAAACCCGCCCCACCCGCATCCTACATGCCGACTCCTTGTCCCGGCACACAGAATTTGAAGCGCCATTGCACCAGTAAGCACCTATCCCCGAGCCTGTGCCCTTATCATGCGTGCAACCCTGTGATTTGTAACCCCATCATTCGAGCCAGTGGTGTGCTGGCAGGTACCTACGGCAGCAGCTGCTAGAGTTGCAGCCAAGAGTGTCCGTATGATTCGAAACCCCATCATTCGAGCAAGTGGTGTGCTGGCCTGGCAGGTACCTGCGGCAGCAGCTGCGAGAATTGATGCTAGGCGTATCCGAGGCAGAGGCAGATGACTGGATTGCTCGCATGCCGTTAGTTAAAGTCCAGGTGGGTGAGGCCCTGAGGGGTTCGCATTGACGCGCATCCTGATGAGTCTAGGTGGGAGAGTGGTTTTGATGAGGGGTGAGGGGCAGCCCACCTATCCGCTATTGACAAGTCCAGGTGAGTGAGGGGTACTGATGAGGGGTGAGGGGTACTGATGAGGGGTGAGGGGTACTGATGAGAGGTGAGGGGTTCGCATTCGCGTGCCGTCTGTCCAAGTCCAGGTGGGTGAGGCCCTGAGGGGTTCGCATTGACGCGCAGCCTGCTTCTCCGTTCATCACACACTCACTCTAAACCCTCTACACACTGCCTCACCCCTTCCTGCTGCAGGCAATACAGCAGACGGACTCTTGCAACTGTGGCGTGTTTGTGATGAAGTATATGCAGTACCTCGTGGTCACACGCTTTCGCTACCCTGAGCGCATTCATCTCTACGGCAGTGCCGATCGGTGGCGTGAGCAGCTTTACAAAGATCTCATGGAGTGGAACATCTATTACAATAGCCGCATGGCAAGCGACGCTTCATAAAGCAGTGACTTTTGAGGCTACTCAAGAGTTAACTCACGAGCAACTGCACGAATATCTCCTAGAGTGGAACCTCTATTACAATTGCCGCATAGCAAGCGCCGTTTCATAAAGCACTGCCATCCAAGCACTCAACTATGCGCCTCCTCTCCTCTTCAACGGCGAATTGTTCGCACGAGTGTGCCTCGGTCGCCCCAACACACGCACTCGCTTTCCCCCCCTGTCCTGCCCTGCCCTGCCCTGCCCTGCCCCGCCCCGCCCCGCCCCGCCCCGCCCCGCCCCGCCCCGCCCCGCCCGTCCCATCCTGTCCTGTCATGTCCTGCCCTGCCCTGTCATGTCCTGCCCTGCCCTGTCATGTCCTGCCCTGCCCTGTCCTGCCCTGTCCTGTCCTGTCTTGTTTTGTCCTGTCTTGTCCTGTCTTGTCCTGTCCTGTCCTGTCCTGTCCTGTCCTGTCCTGTCCTGTCCTGTCCTGTCGTGTCCGGTTTTATCCTGTCCTGGTCTGGCATGACATGTCTTGGCACGTCCTGACCTGTCCTGAACCTGTGCGCACAGGGTCAGGCAGAGGACGGGTAGTGCTGCAGGTTATTGTTGGGTCGACTCAAGAATCACCCAAGGTGGGGGTGGTGGGGAGCGGGCAGGGCATGACGGGCTTTCAGAAGAGAGACAAGAACCTGAACCTGTGCGCACAGGGCCAGGCTGAGGACGAGTTGTGCTACACCCAGATGCTGTAGTGTACTGGTATGATTATGCATATCCACTTTACAATGGTCATTGTGCTGATGTAACAAGTGCATGCTAGATAAAATATGTCAGTGAAGTGACTTTCTAATATTCATGGTACCGGTATGTAGAAGAAGCCTTTTGATACAGAAGCCTTTTCCACATATCAATATGTAGAATTCCACAATCTCAAATACCGTAATCCCCCGGATATAAAACCCTGGGGTCTTATCCTAAGGGTACATTCCTGTGTCGACATTTGTGTCTCAAAGCGTTTGTGACGCGTTAAAACGACATAAAACGTACAATGTCTCAAACGCGAGTCGCCTTTTAGCGACCATTACTGTATTTTTTATTGGTCAGCGTGAAACGCGCTGACGTCGCCGACAAATTGTAAACCGACCCGTCATTGTTAAAAAATCGCATGCGGTTCAAAATGTCAATGCACCTGGTCTGCCCGAAATGCCAATTTCGCTCGGGAAAGAATCCCGCGCGTCGAAACCACACCCCAGCCAAGCGATTGAAGAAACGGGAGTACAGTTATATTTATCACCCAATCAAATGCGCCCAACCGTGCATTTTGCATAGTCGCCTGTCAGAATGTTGTAATTGTCTAGCCTGCAGTGGGGTACTCTATAGCGAGTACAACCCAAATTAGGGTTTCCTATATGTACCTTGCATGCTGCTAGTACAAACCCTCTTCTCTGTTCTATCTTTCGTCCTACTATCTCGATATGGTAACAGAGCGTTCACGCTCCTGGCCTGTGGGCCCCACTGCTGCTTCCGCTGCCCTACTCTGTGTCGCGCGCCCCGTGGCGCGCGACCTTCACATTTTCATCCCGCCGCGCGCCCCGAGCGCGCGCGGCGGTTTCCTGCCGTGGGGGGGCCCGCGCGCGCCCCGCCCGTCCGTCGTGGCGCCCTGGGGAGCACGCGCGGCCCCCACCCTGCACGTCGCGACGCCCTAGGGAGCCCGCGAGCGCCCCGCCCGTCCGTCGCGACGCCCTGGGGAGCCCGCGAGCGCCCCGCCCGTCCGTCGCGACGCACTGGGGAGCCCGCGACCGCCCCGCCCGTTCGTCGCGACGCACTGGGGAGCCCGCGACCGCCCCGCCCGTTCGTCGCGACGTCCTGGGGAGCCCGCGCGCGTCCCGCCAGTTCGTCGCGGCGCCCTCGGGAGCCCGCGCGCGCCCCGCCAGGCCGTTGCGGCGCCCTGGGGAGTCGCGCACACGTCCCCCCCGCCCGTCCGTCGCGGCGCCCTGGGGAGCAGCGCGCGCCACCCCCCTCCACCCGCCCAGCCCGTCCGTTCTGGCGCCCTGGGGGTCGCGCGCCATCCCCCCTCACCATCCCCCGCGCTCCTGCCCCTATCCCACCCGTTTTAGGGTTTCGGGGGTGAGGAGTGTGGGGGTGGCAGTTGTGGGGGTGCCGGTTGTGTGCCCCGTCCCCTACTCCTCCTCCTCCTCCGTCTCCCACTACTGCAGCTGCCGCTGAGGGGGGTGGATGTGTGGGAGCCGAGGTTTAGGGTTTAAGGGGGGTGTCGTGGAAGTGGAGCTAGGGTGTCAGCAGGGGGTGTGTGAGAGGGGCGTGGGACGGTCGGAGGAGGTTGCGTGGAGGTAGCCGTCGTGACGCCAGCAGCGCCAGTAGTCCGGATGCCCTCGCGCGTTTCGGTAGCCCAGCGAGCCTGCTTCGCCAGTCGCCTGTGGGTCCGTTGCTCCTGTGTGTGCTCGTCGTAGCCGCGGAGCCAGATACTCCCGTAGTCCGGTGCCCTCGTGCGCTCGGTAGCCACTGTGCGCGCCGCTCCTGTTGCCCGTGTGTCTGCAGCTTCAGTCGGCGCCTTTCATCTTCTCGCCCTCACAGTCTCTCCTCCTCCTCACTTGCCCTCTATGATCACCTCTAGCTTTGCTTATAATTGTGAACTATTGCTATGCCTGCTCATTGTGCTGATTACACCCCACTTTGGCTATGGGGGTGTGTCAGAATGTTGTAATTGTCTAGCCTGCAGTGGGGTACTCTATAGCGAGTACAACCCAAATTAGGGTTTCCTATATGTACCTTGCATGCTGCTAGTACAAACCCTCTTCTCTGTTCTATCTTTCGTCCTACTATCTCGATATCGCCTAGTTTCGGGATACATTGATTTATTGTGACGCGAGATTGACAAATTTTTTCGACGCGACTCGGGAAAACGTGGATTGAGACATAAATGTCGACACAGGAATGTACCCTAAATCCCTAGAAGAAATGGGGGGGGTCTTAACAAAGGAAAAAAAATGTATACCACCCGGGTCTTATCATATGGCCCCCTTTTTTAAGGGTGTTTTTAACACTACAGTCAATACTGAAGTTGGGGGGATGCTTTTGGTGAGCACCAAGCCAGCGAAACATTCTTCGCTAGAAATCATTGACCGGTCACAACTCATTCGCCTCTCACAGTAACATCGCCCCCCCACGCAGGAGATTCGCCCCCCGATGGCAGTAGATTCGCCCCTGACGCAGCAAATTCGCCACTGACTCAGCAAATTCGTCCCCCTGTCGCAGCACATTCGCACCTGACGCAGCAAATTCGCCACTGACGTAGCAAATTCGCCCCATGACGCAGCAAATTCACCCCCCAACAAGCCAAATTCGCCTAGTAACATGTTTCGGTCTAAATAGAATAATTCGAAATCTACATGGAAACCCCCCCCCTATAGGGGAAGGGGGGGTCTTATATTGTTTACCCCTCAAAAGGGGGGTATAACGATTTCGAGGTTTAATAAAGTACCCCCCCCTCCCCCGTATTAGCTACCCGGGGGTCTTTTATTTTGGGGGGGTCTTCTATCCGGGGGATTACGGTATGCCTGTCGACTTTTTGGATGAGGATTTGGTAGTCAGCAAAGCGTAACGGTGCGTAATTGATAAAGACCACCTTGGGCATGTGCTCAAATTGGTGGGCTAACAAACACAGATAAAAACATCAGCTCTAGCCTAAAAGCCAGATATTTACAGTTTTCCGTTTAATTAGAGGCCACCAATTGAAACGAGAACCTCACATTGTAGAAGCTACACTTAAAAAGGCCACTTGAGGCCTGCCCTATCCTGTCCTGTGTTGTCCTGGCACATCCTGTCCTGTCCTGTCCTAGCACGTTCCGTTTATTCAGGGGCCACCAATCCAAAAGAGAACTTCACTCGGTAGAAATTACACTCGAAAAGGCCACTTGAGGCGAAATAGAACTTGCGTGTTAGAATCTAGAAGCACGAATGTGTGTATTGAATGAAAGG